AGCTCCCCTCACCGGCTACCGGACACAGTAATTCCATCAGCAAACTACGTGAATGCTAAAACAACAATCCTCTTGTTAGCCCAAATCCACAGATATGTCTGTGATGATGGCAAATCAAAGTGGCAACATCCTGCAAATATCCAGAGATTAGCTTAGAGTGACACTGATACCAGTCTCACAATCCCGAGCTCTCATACAGGCACACGCGCACACACAAACCACACACAAAAATACACACAAACACACACACACACACCCCGTCCCAGCATCGTACGACAAGTCTGTCAGGCTGCCAGTGGAGCTCCAGCCAACACTCACCGCCTCCGCCAACAGACTCCATTCTGCCCTGGCTTCACTTTTCAAGACCTCACTATCTCACTCTAATTGGCTGAAACCAGAGCAGGTCGTCATTCTTTTCCGAGGAATGTTCTGGAAATCAAAAACAACTTCCCGTTTACTCACTTACACTAACCGCTCAATTAAGCCCCTATTAAGAGTATCAAGGAGCTTTTTTTCAAAATGTTACACTTATTTAAAGAAAAGAATCAGCAAGCAGGTTTGAATGAAATCAAAAACATTTGAATGTTTAATTTGTCATGTTGCATGAAATCCATATAAGATGTCTGTGGAGGCTGCTTTCAGTCATGACGACTCCTAAAGTTGGCAACAAGACGAACACAACTGAGAACAATGAAAACTTTGACAACAAAACATCACAGTTTATTCAAGCGCAGTCGCCACTTTTTCTCTCTGCCACCCACTGCGTAACGACGTGGTGAGAAGCAGCGCCGGGATCTTCAAAGGGCGGGGACATGGATACGAGGCCAAGCGGTCCCCAGCTTTGGCTTGACAGGCGCTTATTGACCACGCTGACCGGCCCCTAATCTACACAAACTCACACATCTGCATGTGTGTGTGTGTGCATACACTTAAAATTAGGTAATTCTGCAATACGTGCATGTACGTGAGCCCACAATCAAAACACACACACAAACAGACACACACAGACATACAGGCAGGATCCTTTTGAAGAATGAGAGGGACTGCAAAGGGGAGGAGTAAAGGAGAAAGAGCAGGAGAGGAGAGGATGGAGGGGAGGGAGGGTGGTGGCGGTATTTATAGACAACAAGTGATGGGATGCCCTCGTTAGTGCACGGCCCACTGAGCCAGATGACAGACGCGCCGCCAAGAGGTCATGTGACCGCATTACTCACTTCGGCGCCCTGTGAAAGCAATAGATGGGGAGCGAGAGGGTGGGAGGGAGGGAAAAAGGCAGGAGTAGAGCAACAGAGAGAGTCAGGGAAGGCTGAGAGAGAAAACTACCCATGAACCCTGCAGTGCCCATTGCCCTATTTTAACTAAGCAGTATACAAACAAAGTTGTTTTTTTTTTCCCACTCTTCATTTAGGGGACGTGCTTCTCTCCCACTATTTGGGCACTGACCTCAATTTCCCAATGCGGTCACTACTTTGTTTCATAACTCGACAGAACAAAAAAAGAAAAACTCTCTCCAGACAACGCAGGCGGAAGAGTTGACTGCAATTCAGAAGATGTCATTTTTTTATGAGATAACACTTGACAATGCAGTCTTTGGCCTAACATAAGATTTGAAGCAAATCTTTCAAGGGGAGCTGTGGATGCTAAGACGATACCTGCTGCGAGCTTCCCCCATAGAGGCCATAGTCGTAATCCTCTAGATCTGACACCTTAGAGCCAGGAGCTCGACCCAAAATCCTGTAAAGCCTCAGACTTGAACCTCATGACTTCTTTGAGAAGGGGTCAGGAGATGAAGTGGGAAGGTGCGAAAGATGGATTATTTTACAAATTTAATGAGGTGCAGTGGACAAATGCAAAACGGAGGCACCAAGAGACGTAAAGAACAAACAAAAATGACACAAAAGAATCAGGAAGCTCATCTGGCTGCGCAGATTATCAGACTTTAGAGGCACAAGGATGAGCACAAACATACGCAGACACACACAAACACAACCACACTGAAATACCACATAAAAGAGCACTTGTATGGGCAGGTGAGTGCTGGTGCAGGGTCCCCTGCTCTTTCAACTCATGCTACTTCAAACGGCACCCTGCATGAAGATGAAGCTGGGGCCTCAGCACCACAAACAAAGGTGGTGCCACCATTGACGTATACATGGAAAAATGAAAGAAAACCTTTCTCGTGGTCAGAAAACAGCTGCTGGTAAAATATCACATATGGTTTTTAGCCATGCATTGTGGCTCTAGTGATGGTAATATCAATCTGTTGGTTGGTCAACCACTTTTATTTATACTGATATGTTAAAAAAAATATTGGATGGACCTTCATGATGCCCAAAAAAATTACCCCAATGACTTTGGGATCCCCTGATTTTGTATCTAGCGTCACCAGCTCACTCTTTGACGTTTGGGACTTTCAGTAAGGTAGATTGCGAAAATAGTTGATGGAGACAAATTTACCAAATCATTGTTTACAGTGTCTATAAAAGACCAGACATCTGTGGTAATCTAACCAAGTCAGCTCAAGTGGGGTTAAGAGTTTGTATCTAAATAAAGCAAACCACTTGGTGTGATCAAACTTTATGTGTCTCTCCCACATACAGGCTGAGAGCAGTACGAGAGCTACGATCCCAGGACCATTACTGTTTAGTCTGGTTGTTGTAGTTGGATTAAGATGTTAGCTATCCCCTGTTAACCTCTCCTCGCTAGACTGGGCTGATCCAGGACCTAACATGGTGAGGAGGGCGATGGAGCCAGATGAAAGGATATAAGGGATATGAGACTTACATGGGCCCACACTGCAAGACTCCTGGAGGGCAGAAGGTTAAGGAGAGAAGAGAACCCTCCTTCCCTCCTTTGCTCCCTCTCTTTCTTCCTCTCATGCATGTTCTGAATGCTAAACACCAGCCCACCATGTCCTCATCCCCCTGAACCTCCTCCTCGCTCTCCTCCTCCCTTCTCTCCTCCCACCTCCTGCTCTGCAGAATCACTGATGTGAGGTCTTTTGTGAGAGCACTGGCTGGCCTCAGCCCGGGCTCTGTTACGGCCTGACCACTGACCCACTCACCCGCCTTTTAAAGAGGTTTTAGGGTCATGGGTTCACAACAAGGTGACTCAACTGTGAATGGCGGGCGGCATCCTCTTTCAAAGGGCTCATGTCTTCACCTTTCCCTCTTAGGACTCTTTCTCTCTCTCTCTCTCTCTCTCTCTCTCTCTGTCTCTCTCTCTCTTCTCCCCCTCTGTCTCTCTTTTCTTTCCTTTTTCTCTCGTTCTCTTTTTGCGCCCCCCCCATCCCTCCCCCTTTCCATCCATGTATCCTCAGTGACTGACCCGCCGTCTCAGCTCTAATTAGCATAGCATCCCAGAGCGAGGAGAACATGAAGGCTAATGGGGGTTGGGGCCCCGTAACAACACTGAGGGTAAAGCTTCAAGTTTCTAACTAGGGCCATCACCTGACCACATTTACATGGGTTTCTGCAACCAGAATGCAAGTGGCGGAGTAATGCATGATAAATTATTCTTTTTTCTTGGTAGAGGAAGCGAACTAGAAGGGAAAAGGCATCGGGATTCAAAACGGTGCTGCGCAGGAGGTTTGGCTTGTGCGAGTAATGTATGCTGTTGAAAATGCAATGAGGCCAACTTTCACAACAACGCTGATTAGAAAACGAGGGAATACACTGAGTGTTGCAACATGGTGCTTACTTAAATCTATCCCGTATGTGAGTTTAACAGAGTCTGGTTTCATGGTGGCTGCAAATGGGTGAACTTTAGTGAATTAGTTAATTCAATGTGTCCATTTCTTATGTGGGATACAGATGTTGTCCTCCCACAACACAAGAAACATAGAAAACGTCTTTATGGGCAGGGTAGAGTCAATCAGAGTAGTCCAATACACACTGACTGACTGATTCACTATTTAGCACTTGATCTAAATACAATATAGGTGACAAAATCCAAGGAAAAACCTGAACCCTTGACCCCTACTATGAGGGGATCTGGTGGCTCTGTAATGCTGTGGGGACATTTTTGCTGACATGATTGAAAGAAAGGATCACTGCAAAGTTGCTCGATATTGAATCATTTCTATCCTGATGGGTGTGGTCTCTTCAGGGATGGCAATGCCCCTCAACCCAGTTGAACACCTATTTGAGATTTCAGAGCAGCTCACTCTCCCAATACCATCACAAAAACACAAAAGGAAGGAATATTTGTGATAAGAATGGTGTTCGTCTCAAAGCATAAACATAGCACCAAGAAAATAAGTAAAAAATTCAGTGAAATGATCAAAGATATAGGCCAAATAGACATTTTGAGAGAAATTAACCCCAAAACAAGAAGATATACGTATTATTCCAACCCAAATTCAGTCTATACAAGAATAGATTACTTCTTTATCTTTGGTAAGGACAGATTAAGGATCAGTGACTCAGAAATAGGTACAATAGATTTAAGTGATCGTGTCCTGATATATATTACAGTTGATCTAAGAAACACAACATGGAGATTCAATTCAAGCCTATTCAGCGATCCTAAATTCAAAAAAGAAATGAGTAATGAAATTCAAATGTATATAAAAGCAAATGATAATGAAGAAACCTCACCACCCATATTGTGGGATGCAGCAAAAGCCATCTTAAGAGGGTAAAGAAAAAAGAATGGTTTTTAATCCTTGCAGTGGAGCTCTCTCTCTTTTTTTTTTTTTTTAAATTGCTAAGGTGCTCTGAAGCTGTTCATCAGCACGTGGTGGCTCAACACTAAGACACTTCATGTTGGTTTTTCCTTAATTGTCACCCATCTGTAGATCAAACACTACTTGTGCTGCACTTTTCACCCACAGTACAGGCTCAGAAAACACTGCAGTTTTACAAGACATCTAGCTAGACTCCCAAACTGGCAGGCCTTAAATACAAAGTGGAGCAGAGTGTGCATTTTAGTATACACCTTTTTATATGATTTGACTTGTTCATTCCGCAACACGGATTTGCACGCATGTGCTGACTTACCATTCCATGTCCACAGTCAGTCCCATCTGCCAGTGGCATGTGCTGGGTGCGACAGCCTTTATGATCCCCTTCTGCACTCGTACACCACAGCCTCTTGCATTGTTTCTGCGGGGAAAAAAACAAAGTCAGCACTGGCAATAAATCATTTTGGGCTGAATGGGGGAAAATGTGCATCCCATACCCTGGCAACATTCGACAGCTTTCAACACATGCACAATAGACTAGAAATGTTTAATTTGTTAAGACTTTGAAAAACAACAGAATTTAACTGCTACATCGTCCATTATTGCCCAACTTGTTGTGGAAGCAAGAAAGTGCGCTAATATGTTAATTGGTTGATTAAACAATATTGACGTCTAAGAAACTGCCAACTGACTGTTCTTCAGTGCTTTCCAGACATGTGCACATTACATGTTTAATAGCTCAACATTCGATTTTAATCAACATCTGTGCATGTGACAACACATTAATCTGCCTCTTTGTATCTTGTTATGCCTGTTATGCATTCTGCATAGGGATTGACAGAGTGTAATGGGCTCTACTGTACTGTAAAATAAAGGACCCACATTTAGCGGACTACACTTTTATATATGTTGGACTATAGGTATAACTGATATGTTCGAAAGTTTGATAGTTTAATAAAAAGGGGTTCCTGTACATCGGGGAAGAACAGTTTTACCTACTCCTGAACTTTTCTTTACTTTTTTCAGTGTGGTTGTCCTTGCTTTGATATCAAGCCAACTCACCATGTATGGACAAATTTGGGAACCAGGACCAAACATCAGTTCACACTGTCTGTTGGCATTGTACATCTGACCAGGAAGGAGGGTGGGCAGCTCATATGTTCTGCCTGCAGGCTCATCAAGGAGGCACTCTCCATAGCCAGTGCTAAAAAAAAAAAAAAAAAGTGAAGTGTATGTACAGTAAAAAAAAGAAAAAAAAAAGAAAACATAAAACCACTGCAGTGTTTGCACAAACAGAAAAATAGCGAAGGCACACATGTTCACAATGCAAACTTTCATTCCATGAAGATAACCTTGTGTTTTCCAACCCCATAAATTATCAACATGTGTCATGTCTTTCATAAAAAGCAAAGTAAACATTTCTGCGTCATTGTCTGCGATCATCCTCAGATGTGTTTTCCCCTGTGGGTGGTCCGTAAAGATACCGAACAGAGAGACTGATACCACTTCCCCTTAAAAAGCCTGTTAGTAATGAAACTGGAGTTTGGCGCCATAGACTGAACAAGACAGCATTTCGATACAGGCTGAAAAGAATCTGCGTGCTGACCACATTTTTATCTGAAGTGTGTTTTTCTATGCTGAAGGCAAACAAGAGAATTTAGAATCATAAAGCACCTTGATTAAGTTACATAAATCAGTGCCAGCACCAGCATTGCAGCATAATGACAGATTGTGCTGTACATCAGCCACACCCTGAGCCACAATGCAGTAACAGAGACAACAAAAGCACAGCTGGACTGAATATATATGCACCAGCAGCCAGCATATAAAATCATCAGCCTTTGCGGTTGTGAAAAGGCACTACACAAACATGTTAGCAGAGCGAGTTGAGCCACAAAGGATCTCTTCTTTTTGTGTTTACTTTGGAAAAAGGAAACTTTCAAATGAGACAAGTATAGATGTGTAATTACACAACATGTCTGCACCGCTCTGACAAATTTCATCCTGGATTGAGCTGCTAAAACACCTGCTCGACAAAGCACCAGCTGATGTGACAGGCCAATAATTATACAGGATTATTCTGAGTTACCATCACTTTGTTTCTTTACCCTTTCATTTCCAGCCGTAATGTAGGAAACTGTAGCAAACGCTGGCTGGTGGAAGAGGAAAGATTGCACAAGAAGAACACAGCAGCAGAGGAAGACGCTCTGAATGAAAACTATGGAGCAGCCTGTCAAGGAATCATACAGACATATTACAGTGTCTTTCAGCAGTTGGTCATCTGTCTAATCAGTGTCCTGGAACTTAATGGAATGATTATTAAGACCAAGACAGACAGATCCACAGGGGAAAGGGGTCAGCGTGGTCATTTTTTAAATGAAATGTCTACCTGATGTCTTTTTTTGGAAAAAGAATATCAGCCGTGTGGATTCAAGACACTGTGGCGATTCCTTTCTGGCATCAGAAGAGACTAAACACCTGGCGGCCAGTGGGAGACGTGAAATTGAGTGTATTTACAAGATGACTTTAAGTTGATAATTGTGTTTTTATCAAATGAGACTAAACAATTATAGCTCTACCTATACAATACAGAGAGTCCGTTCATATGCAGCATTGATGATTTCTGCAGAGGGCCAGGTGTCACTGAGCATCACCGTTCAGTGTTGAATCAAACAGTGCCAGTCCTGTCAGAGTTTTGTCTGTGACAGAATGCACCAATTATTGCACATGGAAACATAAAAAATTGACAGAGGTTAAGTTTAATTTGGAGAAACATGTGGTACATAGACACATTTTGATTTTATCAAGAAAAAAAGGCATATTTTGGACTGAAGTTTTCGTGAGCGATTTGTCGCTTCAGCAATTTTTTTCAGGTGTGCAAAAGAAAATGATGGGACTTGCCCACTGCTAACGATTATGTGGTTTCAAAACACCGAGCAACAACAACTAGAGGTTGGCATCAGTCAAAGATTTGCATTTTACTTTTATATCTGGATTTTGTGGTTTAAATCAAATGGCACAGTGCCAGAGGAGGAATGAATAGTTTCTTTATGTAGCGGTTGACACATAATAACGCTGCACAACAGCAGGACACTTTTCATCAGCTTTCAGGTGCGGGAGTTCAGTGCACATTATTACAGCAACAGTGAGATAAGGGGGAGCAGAAGGGGAATCCTTTGCCTTTTGAAAGGGATGTTTGAGAGGTGGCGCGGCCTTTCGTTTTTTAAACTGGTAGGAGAGTGGTGCAGATTGAATTTGCTCTTCAGGGAGAATGGGCAGTCAAAACACTGACGTACTTGACCAGGTCAGTCCACTGAGCAGGAGTGGTACTGTAGAAGTACTAGTTTGAATCAATGCTCCTCATTGTTGGCTGGAGACAAACTTCAAAAGCGCTTGGACTGCACTCTCAAGGGCCTTTCCCACCACTACCGCTCCCACACTGAACCAAGTGCTGCTTTAATCTCTCCTCTCTACCTGGCTGTTTGCTATAAATCCCATGTGGCCACCAAATGTTAAGGTTTGTCACAAATGCATTTGACATTTACATCATACTCTTGCTGGTTTTTGGGTTGCAATCAGCCACAAACAGAAGCCCAACACAGTTGACATGGACCCATCCAAATAATGAAGAGATTGATGAAGATTTTCCTCGTCTTGGCGGTATGTTCCGACCACACGACGTCGAGGTCACTGCCGGCTGGAAACTATGCAAAGCACAACCTTAAAACTCCCATGTGAGGCGTCGCCTAACACTGCGCTCTCGAGATGCATCTGGTCAACAAGGCCGTCCTTTGTGAAGGCCTCCACAATTAACAGAGGAAAGGAGGCAAAGATTAAAGGGTCATGTCCAGGGAAGATCTAATTATAACTGACATTTCCCATTTTAAAGGGAAGTCCTTCACCAGGATCAGTGACCATGGTGCGGGTTAGGAGCTGCTGAATGAGCCGTTGCCCCGTGTTACAGGTTCTGGTGTGGAAAGGAGGCTAGTGACTAGATTAGTGTTTGCCCAGCCTCTTCAGAGCGGGGCTCTGTCTGAGTGGTGGGACAGCTGAAGGGCCGCAGAAGATCCATCGCACAGGTCAGCTGAGGAAGACCCCGGATTCAAACAGGAAATACTCTTTCAACACCAGGCAATAACAACTCAACACAGTTTACATTGCGCTGACCTGTCTACAGAGCTATGTGGGAGACGTGGAAGCCATTTGTTTTGCTAGGTATGTCACAACAAGTAAAAGTTAATGGCGCACTTAAAACATGGATGTAGTAATATCCCATTGGGAAACTATCGCTTTATCTTCCATTAGAAGAGTCCCTGATAAGTGGTTTGTTTTGATGACGGATCAGTTTAGAACTGGACAGGAGAACTGGATGTACGTACTCTAGAAACTCTGTGATGTACTTCCGACTGCACTTGGACCACGACCAGGGGTTGGTGTCGTAGTTGAGGGTCGGAGCCATGACGTGATACTGGTGCTTCATGCCTGCCTCCCGGCACTTGGGGTTGTCATCATGAGGCATGTTGAACCTGGTGCAGAGTGAAAGGAAAAAGGAGCGGTTAGAGATGGCGAGAAGAATAGAGAGAACACACACAAAGCGATTATCAACCGCTTAACGGCTATGTTGTAGTAAGAAGGATAAATGTCACAAATTCAGCCATTTTGAACAAGGGCTCACCCCGCACCATCCCTGTGGGCCGCCACACACAGACGCAGACACATCTGTGAGTCATGCTATACACTTCGCACATTTTCTTCCACTTGTCTGTTTGTATTTCTTTTTCACTCCTAAATACATACATCTCCCTATTTGTGTTAACTCCCAAACAACCCTCAAAAGGCTGCAATAAAACTCCAACTGGCCAGTTGGGTTGTGCAACATTTTATGTAGAACGTTGCTATCCATCTATCAGCATCTATTCAGCTCCACTATCATGGCAAACATGCTGGTGAGAACCACCTCCAGCTCACCCCATAGAGGTCAAAGGTGAACATCTCACATTCTCGCAGGGCTTAATGTAGAGTGGAAGGTCCGGGCAGAAACACCACGATGTGTCAGTGCACACGTGTGCTGCAATGAAATCTTCAATTATCAGCTATAGAGACATATCTGGCTTCATCAAAAAAATCAGTCAACTAACAGAAAACAGGAGTCTTCACAGCAGAACCGCTGTCAAAAGTGAAGCATGCCATCTGCAAATTAATGAATTCATCGCGTCCGCCGGTAGTTGGCCGTCTCATAAAGCACGTTGTTCTTGATTATGTCCAGAGCAGTGTAGTCCAATACGGATGTCCTGTTTGGTGCTGTGGTTTTGGCGTACAACCCGTAACACATGTAGTGCAAGTACACATGAGTGCACACGTATTTATACACACAGGAACCCTTGCAGCTGTATGATGTCTGAGATGTTTACAACAGGATGTGGGCCAGTGCTGGGCCCTGGGCTGTAGCTGAGGGTCAATCCATACCGCCACACAAACAAGATCTAGAATGGCTGGCATGAGGCCCACCCTACAGGGGCCGAGGGCCTGAGGGCAAACACCCAGGAAATAATTAAGCCTCTGGCACAGTAACAAGCTCCACGCACACAAACCAAGCTGTTGGATAACACTCATAACATCAAATCTGGCTCAAATGGTATTTGCAAACTATTTTTTGACACTCGTGATGGTACCCAGGTGAACCGGGGTGATACGGATAATGACAGGCAAGTTTCCAGTCACCAAAAAGTAATGAACAACTGGATGTGCTGCTGCAGCTAAGTAGATTTTGTTATTACCGTGATGGGTGATCTAGGGATTTGTGGGTGTTATGAGGATTTATTTGACCAAGATTTGAAGGGAACAAAGGAGGATACTAGCTTGAAATCCTGAGATGAGAGCCTTTTAGTGTAATTAGATTATAAATCAAGCAGTTTTGTGGCCAGATCAATAGAACAGTCAATTCCAGTGAATTACTAGCATCCAGAATGTCATAATTTTGACGCCCACTCGATTGTAGCTCTTAACAAAATAACTGCTTATCTTAATGTCATGCAGCCATCCCATTAGATTTACAACACGACAAAAACATATTTCTCTCATTAAATGCCTTTGAACAGCATCAAAAATGAAAAACAACTGCTGCACTGTTAGTCAGTTGCACATCTTAGCTACAAAAAATGTACTGATTCTAAAGAGAAACCATCACTGGCACATTCAAGTCATTTTACCCATTTTGCTTTCCAGGGTTATATGTGAACGTGATAATGCTGGAAAAGTTTTCCTCTCTCATATTTCTTAAGGCGTTAAAAAAGAAAGTCTGTCGGCAGCTATTTATTCTAATGACATAGCAAAATGTCAGGAAGATTTATTTGTGATCTAAGACATCTGAAGCCTGACAAACTTGATAAGTCCTTATAAGTGTCACCTTTGAACAGCTATCAAGTGACGCCGTCTTGCCTGAAAATCCCCATGATGGCTATTAGTAATCACACGTCTTCGCAGTCATCTGAGAAAGGCCTTCTATCCATTAGTCTAAATCTTTCTTTAATCTGCAACGCTCTTGAGTGGCTCCCACTACCTGACACTGGCTTTCCCAGAGCGCTCAACACTCTGGAGAGCTCACGCCTGTGAACGCGGCGATCAACCATGCCAAGAGGCAGAGCCAACTGGGCCTCCAGCTGCTTGAACTTTAGCATAAACAGATCCACATGAGTTGCGAGAGGGAAGAGTAGGGGAAGGAGGGGAGTGGAACGTAGACTCGTCCATCTGCTGCTGCTCTGGTCCGATCTCTCCACTGGAAGAATGTGTGAGCGTGACAGAGGAGGTAGAAGAATATCTTTCATTCTTAACCAGTGGCTCAGAGCCGAACGCTGACACTGGTCCTTTTTATTATCCACACAAACGGACCAGAAAGGAGATCTCTCATTCACAATTACACCAAAGCAGGAAGAACAACCTGAAAAAAGACAAATTCTGTGTCCATAAGTGCGCTTGCTGAGACAGAAATCAGATCTAAGGCTGTAGTAGGAAATAATGCTTCTTAAATTGCACCATATTTAAATCACCTCAGCTGGTTTTCAAGAATGAGGAGGTAATGAGTAATTTACCGTAATTTTGCCTCGGATGGAAAAAAACAGCACCTTATGTGCAAATAGGTCATGTGTTTACGCTCGGTCATTTGGAGACAAATTATCCGTACAGGTCTGTTCTTCGCCTCACACATGTGGCAGTATTTGCTTGTTGTGAAAACACTCTCTGGCAGACAGGCGTGTTGTGGTAAACCTGCCATTACCTGCTAAAAGACAAGTTACATATGCTGGCACTGTTACATCTTCAGAGTGTCTTTGGGGCTGAGATGTTGAAAGTGACTGAGAATGAGCACGCATCCAAATGCTAAACACAATATTCAGCCTTGGACTGTCTAATAAAGGTATGCGCGCCACTGGAGAACAGAGGTTTTCCAAAATAACTGAACCCTATGCAGATTTTTTTTTTCCACTATATCCACAGTAAATCTCATCTAAGCTCGCTGTCATCGAGGTAAAGCTCGGACACATACAGGGCTAACTTCTTGACCTGTAGAGTAAGGTATTATAGGCTGGCATGTTATTAAAAGTCAAGTTTTTTTACTTTATTATGTTTTGCACCTGCGTCTGCTGCACCCTACGTCTCTTGATAAGAGGGGCTTTTGTTGTCAAGGCTGGCTGTGAGGGGTGAGACAGCCTATGTGTGTGTGTGTGTGTGTGTGTGTGTGTGTGTGTGCAGTATGTGTGTGCTGCTGGGTTATGGGTGAGGAGGGGAGGAGGAAGGTTGCTAAAGGTTCTGTGCTGCAACTTACACATGGCCCAACTCATGAGCGATGGTGAAGGAGGCGCTAATTCCATTTTCCTCACTGATGGAGCAGCTCCGGTAAGGGTCGCACATTGTCCCCAGCTCTGCGAGCCCTGCAGGGCCATGAAAACGCACACAGTTGCACGTAAACACATATTGACACAGAAAGAAATAACAGTTGCATGAGTGTTGTAGGCGATTAAGCCATCAAAACTTCTGTTCTTTAAGAGAGATTAGCACAACACACAGTTCCCCGTTCCCCTCCTCTTACTACCACTCCGCTCTGTCACTACAATATTATTAGCTGACAGATTGCCATAAACTCATTACTGCACAGTTTGTGAGCCTGCGGTCACCGGAGCGGAAAGTTAATCGAGACGTACTTTGAGGTGGAGATACTTTTGCAATGAAAGAGGCAAAAGTTTACCTAACGTGTCGCATTTGTCCTTCGCACGGCAGATGTCTTCCCTGAAAAAAAAAAAATCACACAATGCAGTTACCACTTTGTGAACAGGACTGCTTGCTTGAGAAACCTGCTTTGAAGGAGGAGGTACCTGGTAATGAGGAGTGCGGTGTCATGGTGTGAAGGATGGTTGTCGTCCTGGATGTTTTGACTCTGCTGCCACACACAGAAGTTGTGGAGAGTGGTGGCAGCGTTGAAGCTCACTGTGGGCCCTTCCTGTTGTTGGGTGAAACAGCAAACATGTTTCTGGGTATCATTAATGCATAAAGTCATATTTCAGCGATCGCAGTGTGTACGTCTCAAAAATCTCACAATTAAAGAATATTTAACATGTGTCAACTTATCTTATTCTCTTCTTTTTGCCCATGATAACATTTAACTTACTTAAATTCAGTTTAACCAAATGAAATAAAATGCAAAGGATCATTATAGCTTCCCTCTTTCAACCCTTCTTCCAGGATCATCTGTAGATTTTTATCCAGTCATCTACTCACTATAAACATGCCACTTGATGTTTCTTGTTATGCATATGTGGGTCAATTATAGAGCCACAATTGGAGTACCACTAATCTTACAGTGGGAATCTATGAAAACTTAACTGAAACAAATCCACTGCAGTAATCAGTTCTCCACAACAGCTAACAGGTGCTTCTGTTTTACATTATTTCTGTTAAATTAGAGCTTTTTGGAGAGCTGCAGGAGGCTCATGCTCTTCATCCAGATCAGCCTTCCTGGGACTGAGGTGGCGAAAAAGATTTTTTTACTCTCACCAAAAATATGTTAACAATACCCAGGAGGGCAAACGCTAGAGCTTAATTTAAAAAACAAACTACAGTGCACCTCTGCGGCAGCATCTCATTTGCAGGTGTTTCGCTGCCTTACTACAGTGTCATTAGTTTTCCACAGAGACCTCTCATGAGACTCGAGACTGACAACAAAGGCAGTGTCCTTTCAAGCAGGCCCCACAGAGAAAAGGCCAAGCCAGAGACACCTGCAATGACGTCAGCCTATATTGAAGAACGTTTATACGTGTAGCATTCAAGATCCCACGCTCACCTGTTCATTGTGGATGACGACCAGCTTGACAATCATGATGTTGATGAGGTTTCCTACGCTGGGGTCCCTGTACACTGCTGCTACCTGTAACAAAGACAAAACACACAGACAAAAAATGCAAACCTCCACAAACCTGAGCCAAAGCACAGATAGGGACAGTATAAAAGCTAGTCAGCTCCTCTTGACTTAAAACCTGGAATGACAAAGCACGGTCACTACTTTTTTAAAGTTGAGCTCGATCTGGTTTAATCAAAACAGCAACAGTTCACTGAAGTCAAAAGAGAGTAAAAATATCTCCTTCAGGGGAAGTTTAATCAACAGGGTAATAAAAAACAATTACCAGTCCTCCACAGACCGTAGTCAAGAAAAAATAAAACCTGGATCCAGCTACAAAATGTGAAACTTTAGCAAAAGCTGGAGCTCAGAGCCCTTCTATGAAGACAGCAAAACATTCCACCTCTTCTCCCCTCTGCTTCTCCTGATTTTCTCGTGCAACCCTGTCACGGTCGGCCAGCGGTCTCCTGAGGCCGAGTGCGGCCTCATGACAGGAACTCATTAGTCCACTATAAACATTTAGCTTGTCCTGGCCTAGGGGGAGGCAAACGTGGCCCAGGCCTGCCCAGAGTGGGCGAAAGGAGCCTGTCCTTGTATGCTCTTAGTCCAACTGTGACACAGGACATTGTTCTGTGTGCTCTCGCCCCAGAGTATGTTATGATATGATCAGTGCAACAAGCAGAAGCGAGGGGGACTACAGCCTACACCGGACAATCACAACAGAATCTCACACAGCCAGCTCCCTGAAAACAAGCTCAGAAGGCACAGAGACATGCCAGCAGGAATTCAGCTAACAGGAAGGACATTAATGTCACGACCTCAAGGATTATTCTGGGAATCTCAGGGGTTAAACGATCAAACCAATTACACATTTGGCTGATTTTAGGGGGAAAAAAAACAAAAAACATCAATAATAAAAGTACTTTCTAAAATGTTAAATTTCTCAGGTAAATGGTGTTCTTCAGGGAGTATGGGCTCATTTAAATGTACATTTTACTATACATATTTGTCAGGTACCGTGTGCAAAGTTTAAACATGTAATACAAAGAGATTTAGCTGCTATCTACTGTCCAATGTTAGAAATGTCAGGAATAACAGTAAAACACACATTAATTCTACACCGTGGAACAGACTGGGTCAATTTCTTGCTCAAGTTCTCTGTTCTGATTAAAATTATCGGTCATGTTTTGCCAAAGTTTTTAACTGTGGCAAAAGTAAGGTGACTGAGAGCATGACAAAGAGAGAAGAAATAAATTCCTGCACCACTGGTCTGCAGACAGACTGTAAGCGTGGCAGGACTCGACAAACTTGGTAATAAAAAGCGGCACATTTACCAGCGACTGCACTCCCTCAGCTTTACTTAAGGATAACATCCACCGACAATCATTACTCCTTGACAAGTTACTGAATGTTTCACACATGTCACACTGGTGACAGATGGCAGAAGGTCCACACAGTCCAGCTCAATTGATAACCTGTCTTGCTTTGACACACTTTTAGAGCAAAGTCAATCTGAGAGTTAGTGGATTGATTATCAAGTTGCTCTTTCAGTCCAATTTGGGACTCATAAAGAAGGTGCTGAGTCAGGATTGTACAAATTAGCGGTGCCACTTTGGTTGATGCAGGAGGTCACATCAAGGTTTACAACCAAAAATGTCACACAGTAAAGTCTGAGCCTAGAAGCACTCAGCTGGACTGCAGTTTACACTGGTCACAGTGGACAGGGCTGCTTCACCAAACCAAGAAAAAGTATATATTTACATTTTTACACCTCCCTTAAATAGCATCTTACCATGGTGAGAGCTGTCAGTGTTTGGGATATCCTCCATCTACTCGTCCAATTAAGGTAAATGGAATTTTGTTTAAGGTAGTAAAAATTTAACAGCAATTTCTCTTGAGAGAGAGAAAGAAAGCAGTGTCCCTGTTACTCTGGTTAAACAGATCTCGATATCATCACAGGGACTACAGGAGATAAAATAAAAATGTTATACAAAGGCATCTGTGACTATCTGAGTAAGCATGACCAGTTGTTTTAGCATCCTGACATGCATCGAGTGCATTCAAGCTTGTCTCAATTAAAATGGCCACAAAAAAAGTACACAAGAGAGGAACGTTTCTTGAACACACTATGTGCATATCTTTTTCTTGTTGGCAACCAAACCAGCAGGTTTCTGATCAGAACCAACGCTGCAATTGATTCCAGTATTTTATTTTTTTAAATTCAAGTTCATTTAATTTAAAACCAGTGATGCTTGAGAATGTATGCAGACCAATAACAATCAAAAAAAAAACTATATGTCATATTACACCAACTAATGCTATCAAACAAAACCAAAAACACTTATAATAACACTTGAAATGATAATTTTTAGAAACATTATTTTACTTACTACTGACATGATTGTTAGGATGTAGTGCTCCAGGTTGCGTCCATGGTGACGCACCATTTTGGCGTCCGCTGTCACCATAAGCTCAACATAACGAGGATAGGAGAGGAAACGCTTGTGTCTGCGTGGAGATCTGGAGTGCGAGCTGGTGGAGTTGTCTTCATAAATGTGCTGATCATCTATTGTGGCTCTGAGAGAGTCCAGCTCCTCTCCCATATTCCCTCTGCTCTCAAAAGACATTGGCTTCTTGGAGCTCTCTGTTTCTAAAAAGAAAGAAAAGCAATGAAAAAAGTTTGTGATTATGGAATTATTCATCATGTGGGAATCAACCTCTCCATAATGGACACCGACTACTTTATGTCATAAAGGCATTTCATGAGAGAGCGTGGTACATCCACAGATCAGAGCCAAGGAGGTTTAGCTTAGCTGAATTCCAATGACATAACAGAGGCACACTGGACTTCTAGAGCAGAAACCTGCCATAGATTAATGTGTCATTCCAGCGTTCAAAAAAACAGTTGTACCAAGAGACGCAAGGTCACTGGTGAGCTTTGAGAGAGTTTATAAGTCATGCAAGCTCTGCCTCACAAACTGAGAAAATCCCTTGATGACATTTTATCGACTCACAGAGGGACATAAAATTTTCTGTGATCCCAACCCCCCTACATAACAAAAAATAAATAAATTATGGTGATTGGCAAGAATCATGGCGACAGAAAAAACTCAAAACATATTTAGTGCCAGACTGAAACTATTCCATTTATAGGCTCCAAATGAATGCCTTAAACAGCAGAACTAAAATGACAGTCATATACTGTGCATACTCGACTGGCTCAGTTCTCTCAGCTGAACTGCACGTGTTGCACTGGCTACGACGGATAGATTCCTTCACCGTGACAGAGTGAACTTAAAAGAGGCAGAGACAGAGGCAGAGACAGTCTAAAAGCGTGGGCAGCTTTTTGCATTGGAGGAATGGAAAAGAAAAACTTGCAAAACTGAAGGCTGAAGCAGATTTAATTGCACATTAATAAGACTAAAAGAGTTTCAAAAGAATAGTCACAGACAGAACAGAAAAAAAGAGTAGTGGTAGACCTTCCAGTAGCCGCACCACATAGCTCCAAATCACACAAAAAGTGTTATTTTATAGGTCTGATGTTGACTAAAAACATACTGAAAACTTTGCAATGGGAGTATAAATTGTCCACACACTCTGAATGTCAGAATGTTTCAGTCAGACTCTGTAATTTATTGGCATTAGATCGGTTTCCACTGCACTTTTGTGTTAAAACAAGACATTCAAGGACTGAGAAGAGCGTACGTTGTGCTGTCCAGATTTGCAGTGATGCATTGCCACATGTGATACAGTGTAAGAAAGACTGCTTGCAGTAGCTTCAGCTGTCTCTCAGCTGGGGGAAGATTGATTTCAGCATCTGCCAGACAAAGCAACACAGAACTATAGCAGGATTTGCTTGTAAATGATGCAAACACATTGATGCAACAGCTATGACTTGATTTACTCCAAAAAATAGAGGCAATTTTTTCCCATGTTGCTGCATTGCCCTGTTTTCTATTTAAGAAAAAAACCTATTAGAAAAAGCGAAATAGTTAAAGTCGCGAAAGAATTTACATAAATGACTTTAGGTAACACATTCAGTGTTTACGAGCTCGGCATAGCTTGGAGTCCGTCATCCTAAACAGCCTCCTCAACTTTGGATAACCCGATTATAGTGAAGAGTTCCATTGTATTCTCTAAACTCAGTCTTTCCAGACAGTCACACAGAGAGAGATTGTGTGTAACTGTTAGATCAGAAAGAAAGGCAAGAAAACTCATTGAGCACTCCATGAGTATTCAAGCGATGCCCCCAGTGGGCACACGAGGCGGAGCGTGACTCCCTGGCACAATGGCGCACAGCTCTTGCTGCCGTGAGGCCCAGCCCCATGCCAGCGCCAGCATCCAAGTCAGCGCCAAGCCCGTCTGTGCCCGTGCACACGGCCCGGACAGCTGGGCCAGAACAGGGCTTTGTATTTTCCAGGAAAAAAAAAAAAAATCTCTCCGCGGCCAAACCCACCACACTAAACCCCTTAAACAGACTCATCACCGCAGACAGTCTGACATCAAAGGGATTATCAAAGCACTGAGGAGTATCTGCATCCTCAGAAATTGGTGTTAAGACTCGGAGTAAGCGAGTGTGAGATGAAAAAAGAAAAGAGGAGGCAGAGAAGGTGAAAATATGGCCTCTGTTATAATAGCCTTTGAATCAGTGCAGATTATCCACACACAACCTTTCCCAAATCGCCTTACGTTGAAATCCCCCCTCTCACTAGGTAGTGAGCTGCTACTTACACCATGAGAAGACAGGGGTGACTGCCCTGACCTGCTGGACACACAGAGACATGACAGCACCCAATGGGCACTGTGCACACCGGCATCAGCCATGCATCTACATGTCATGCTAGAATTCACTACCAAACAACAAAAATGTGAAAGATTTTTATTTCTTTTGACACTAGAAGGACTATCATGAGCCTATAAATCCAAACTCCAGCAGTTCCTCATAACAGAGAACAATAAAAAAGGAGCCCTGCACGGCATGAGTGCAAGCATTTCTAAATGCTGTAATTTGGTTGGCTCCAGTATGCACATACCTAAAACAGACCGACACCGCACTCACTTTTCTACCCCAACGCGTATTCGACTTGCGAACGTGTAAATCTTTTAATCATCGTGCCAAAAGAAAATGAGAAACAATAAGCAATATAAATAATATTTATCTATTCTCTCAATGACACATTTTATTGCACACACAGCATCCCATAAACATGATTCCAGAAGAGCTTTATGCATATTTTAAGGATTTCATTTGGGTTGGAATGCCTCCACATGTTTACAATTAAACGCTGATGTACATTAATGTATAAACACTAACGAATGGAACCTTTTGGATGTTGTATACACACTCTCTGAGCCCATTCATGTCCACCAGCCTGTCCGAAAGGATCTCATTGAGATTTCAACCAAGATCAAAGAGCTACTCTTTGACTCTCCTTCAGTTCTCTGTCAAAAGTATCAATGCCAAGAGCCCAACAAAGGGGAACCCACATTTCATTGTTGAACTAATTAACATTCTTTTACAGTGGCCTGCTGAGAGTTAAAGCACTGTATTCCCTGGGGACCAATTAAATAGACAGTATACCTTACACTGGGTATAGGTAGTGCCTTGCTTCTAGACGAGGTCAGACACTCTGGTTACTGGGATTTAGCTGACAGTACAACTCGGTGGGGGGGTGGGGGGTGTTTTAACTCCTACAGACAGAAGCACAATTAAGTGCAATTCTGTGGCTAGACAGAGAGAAGCAAAGGCAGCTAATTGTTGCTGCTGAAGAAGGCTTTTAAAAGTGAAGTGGCGTGGCTTTTGACCTGACTGGAAGACGGTGGGCTTTGTACATTTACAGTGCTCTCAGTTGTTATTTTCAGTTCAGAGACGTGCTAAAGACAGCATGGTGGTCAGCTGAAGAATGTGTTTGGAGTAGCGGACCTCCTCAGAGGAGGTAAAACACTCCATGCGGATCTGGACTCCTAATGATGAGCAGGGGTCTGGAGTGTTTTTCTTTAGTCAAGATCAAACTAAGACACCTCTGACATTTGTTTTTAAAGAAATGTATCTGGATATACTGTCAGTTAAATAACTAATAGATGTCTAAAGTCTGAAAAAAAAGAAAAAGCAATCTGACAACATATTTCTACCAGCATTCTCCAGGGCACAATCATTTGAATTTCTTGCTTGTTTGTTTACAAAAATGTTTAAAAGTCTGCATTTGGATCCTGGATCTGCATCAAACGATCGCCTTCATTAGCTGCTGACAGCTGAAGAACATCAACTGTCAGAAGACAAAATGCCTTCATATTGGACAGTAATTTAGTTACATGTGCACAATTCAGTCAAGACCTATAGTTTATACCAAAGAGACCAGTGTTTACAGGAATGTGGCACAATTTCAAAAAGGTTCTATAGGCTTGTCTAAACATGTCATGCAACAAATTTGTTGAAAACTGGATGAAATTTGTAGAGTGGTGATGCAAACATTGGCAGAATATCTCTTTGGTCTATACTGGCACAATTAAGATGAACATCAAAAACTTTTCATCACGTCATTCGAGTAATTTAACTGGTTTTGACATGTAGCTAACCCAGAAACCAGGCAGAAAAGGCCCTCTGTTGATGGGGGTAAGTAGCAAAATAACATTTCAAAGAACAACTGCTTACACATTGGGAGTATTTGAATGCAAAGGGATTGTAGAAGTAATGTTAATTAGGAATGACCTGATCCAATCTCAGCTATTGGCATCAGCACAAACCGAAGATCGATCCCTTGTTTGCATCCACTGACACACAGGTGTCATAAAGGGAGAGCACAATTTGTGACAGGGTGCTAGGATGCAAATATTGAGTGGTTTTCTAAATCAATAATCACCAATAAAAGATCAATCAATAACATAAACTGAGCACAGCGGACTTTGTCCCATGCTGATAGGCCTGTTTTAGTCAACAGAAACATGGTGACTCTGTTATGTACGTATGCCACTGGGATATATGAGGTGTGTCAGAAAAATTTCAGGACTGGTGTCGCAAAAGATAAATTTCAAATCCAAACTACAAATTACGAGTTTTCCCCTTCAAAGTAATCCCCCCGGAGTCTAACACACTTTTCCCAGCCTTCTCTGCCACGCCACCATGCACTGCTGGAAGGATTCTTCCAGGATCCTCTGCAGCTCCGTCATCACAGCCATCTTGATGTTGTCCACGTCTTCAAAACAGGTCCCCTTGATGACCTCTTTGAGCTTGGGGAAGAGGAAAAAATCACACAGAGCCAGGTGGGGTGAGTAGGGAGGTTGCTCCAGCACGACAATGTTCTTCTCAGCCAGGAACTGTTGGATGCTCAGGGCATTGTGAACAGGCGTGTTGTCATGGTGAAACAGCCACGACTTGTCCTGCCACAATTCACTCTTCTCTGAACTGAACAAAGCAAATGCCGTGGGATCTCTTTGTAGATGTGCTGGTTGATCATCTGAAGGGGAAAACTGGTAGTTTGTAGTTTGGGTTTGAAATATATCCTTTGTGACACCAGTCCTGGAACTTTTCTGACACTCCTTGTAGTAGAACTGTCTTTGTCAAACTTAACTTGTCTGAAAGTCATGGTTCATGGGTAAAAGTCATTAAGTATCACAAAAGTCTTTGTCATGGTGGCCGGTTGCTAG